GTAGCTCCAGGGAGTCACTGGGCAGTGACCACACCTGGCGGGTGTTTCAATCATAACCATAGCATCTGAACATCCATGTGAGGCTGAGGGTCATGAGGCCCACAGGGAACAGGGCCTGGATCACCACAATGGGGGCCTACTGGGAGTCCCAAGTCCAGGAGGGCTGGCCTTCTAATTCCTTCATCAGGAGGAATCTGTCAAATACTGTCCGTGAACAGGACCCTGGAGGGTCATGTTCCCTCCTGAGGGCATGATAGGGCCAGGATGAGAGGCTGGGTTTGCCATGGAATCCTAGGAGAGGGGAAGGGGCTGAGTTACATGGGGCTCAGATCTCCCCACATGATCCCCAGGGCTGGGCTGAGAGGGCGACACCCTGAGAGCAGACCCCCTTCCTGAGGGAAGAGCCTGGAGAAAGGAGGGGATGCCCTGAATAGGCTTGCACCTGTCACCACCAGCTCCAGCTGGTCACTGGGCTCCGACCAGCCAGTGGCACTGAGATATACACAGTAATATCATCCTGCATATACACGTGTGAAATATGTGATGGAGAACTTGGCCTTGTCCTTGGGCTCCAGTGGCTTCTGTCTGTTCCAGGTCCCTGAGTGTCCCTGTTTATGCAGGAGGTACTCCTGGGCCTTCAGGCTCCCCTGACACCAGAGGGTCACAGCTGTCCCCATGGGGATCACAGATCATGGCTCAGCCCAGATGGTGAGTTTGGAGAAGGTCCCTGGAAGGAAACAGAGGCTGTGTCACAAGATCTTCTCCACCCCCAGTTCCCAGCTCAGCCCCAAACCCCCAGAAGTCCCCCTCTGTTAGCCCAGAGCTGCTGATCTCCATGCCTCCTGCCTGGTCGGTGGTCCCTGTCCCCAGTGAGGAGGGGGGACTGGGACCCCTGGAGACAGACTCACCTGCCTGCACTCGGGTCCTGGAGTCCACAGTCAGGCCTGGAAGAGAGTCCCTGTGAGAGGTTTGCCTCAAATCCTGAGCAGAACACCTCCTCCCCATGAGCCTCCTAAACCTGGGGTCTCTGACAGACCAGGTCCTGGCTATGTGACAGGCCCCTCCCAGACTAGGGCATCCCCCCTCTCTTCAGACTTCACCTAGACAGAGCAGGGCTGTGAGGTTGGGGGTCATGGTGTCTTCTGTCTCTGGCTAAGCTATTCAGATAGTGGGACCATGGTGCTCACAGGACAGAGACACACACAGAGTGTGGCCAGTCGGAAGCCAGTCCTGCCTGTCAAGATGTCGTTATGTCAGCATCACTAAAGGAAGGGGAACATCTCCTCCCCTGCCCCTAGTGAAGTGTCCATTCGAGGCAGCAAATTGAACTCAGGTTTCCTGAGAAATCCTAACCAAATGAGGAGACCAGGACATATCCTCCCTCCCAGAGTCCTCCCCCATGGGGTCTCCTTCATCCTCAGCACATCCCTGGGGTCCTCACCATTGACAGGTTCCTCAGACCCAGAGATTCTGCAGGGAACATGGGTTCCTGATGGCAAAGACTTGTGACATTTCTGCTTAGCATGGGTTGAGGTCACTGTGGCAATGAGCCCAAAGGAGAAGTGCAGGCAAATAGGGAAGGAAATCCAGCCCCTCTTCTGGCCTCTAGGTGTGGGCTTTCTTTCTGTCACAGCCTCTGCTGATGTCTCTGTTTTCCTGTGACATCATCCACATCCTGTTCATGAGAACACATCTGTGAAAACTCCTGGCTCATCAGTGCCCATTGTCCTGGGACAGAGCTGACCTCCCTACACTGGTGTCTCAATTCCAAAATGCAGGAGATAATATGTGGGTTAATGCTCTGATTTGGGGAACAAAGCTAATGCTCATATAAATACTATGCCATATGTATTTTTTTGTCTGGCTTCTTTTAGCTGATGTGTTGTTATAGGTAGTTCTAGAGTGCTCATTCTCAAGTCTGTGGACAGATCCATTTTATGTATATACCACAAATTAGTTATTCATTGTGCTGTAATCAAATGTTAGAATTGGGTAGCCCAGGTGGCACAGTGGTTTAGTGCCGCCTTCGGCCGAGGGTGTGATCCTGGAGACCTGGGATGGAGTCCCGCGTCAGGCTCCCTGTATGGAGCCTGCTTCTCCCTCTGCCTGTGTCTGTGCCTCTGTCTCTCATGAATAAATAAATAAAATCTTAAAAAAAAACAAACAAAATAAATAAGTATGCAATGGAATATTCCTCAGCCATTAGAAGTGACAAATACCCACCATTTGCTTCAACGTGGATGGAACTGGAGGGTATTATGCTGAGTGAAATAAGTCAATTGGAGAAGGACAAACATTATATGTTCTCATTCATGTGGGGAATATAAATAATAGTGAAAGGGAATAGAAGAGAAGGGAGAAGAAAGGAAATATCAGAAAGGGAGACAGAACATAAAGACTCTCAATCCCATTTACAATTGCACCCAAAAGCATAAGATACCTAGGAATAAACCTAACCAAAGAGGTAAAGGATCTATACCCTAAAAACTATAGAACACTTCTGAAAGAAATTGAGGAAGACACAAAGAGATGGAAAAATATCCCATGCTCATGGATTGGCAGAATTAATATTGTGAAAATGTCAATGTTACCCAGGGCAATTTACACGTTCAATGCAATCCCTATCAAAATACCATGGACTTTCTTCAGAGACTTAGAACAAATTATTTTAAGATTTGTGTGGAATCAGAAAAGACCCCGAATAGCCAGGGGAATTTTAAAAAGGAAAACCATAGCTGGGGGCATCACAATGCCAGATTTCAGGTTGTACTACAAAGCTGTGGTCATCAAGACAGTGTGGTACTGGCACAAAAACAGACACATAGACCAATGGAACAGAATAGAGAACCCAGAAATGGACCCTGAACTTTATGGTCAACTAATATTCGACAAAGGAGGAAAGACGATCCACTGGAAGAAAGACAGTCTCTTCAATAAATGGTGCTGGGAAAATTGGACATCCACATGCAGAAGAATGAAACTAGACCACTCTCTTGCACCATACACAAAGATAAACTCAAAATGGATGAAAGATTTAAATGTGAGACAAGACTCCATCAAAATCCTAGAGAACACAGGCAACACCCTTTTTGAACTTGGCCACAGTAACTTCTTGCAAGATACATCCACGAAAGCAAAAGAAACAAAAGCAAAAATGAACTATTGGGACTTCATCAAGATAAGAAGCTTTTGCACAGCAAAGGATACAGTCAACAAAACTCAAAGACAACCTACAGAATGGGAGAAGATATTTGCAAATAACATATCAGATAAAGGGCTAGTTTCCAAGATCTATAAAGAACTTATTAAACTCAACACCAAAGAAACAAACAATCCAATCATGAAATGGGCAAAAGACATGAAGAGAAATCTCACAGAGGAAGACATAGACATGGCCAACATGCACATGAGAAAATGCTCTGCATCACTTGCCATCAGGGAAATACAAATCAAAACCACAATGAGATACCACCTCACACCAGTGAGAATGGGGAAAATTAACAAGGCAGGAAACAACAAATGTTGGAGAGGATGCGGAGAAAAGGGAACCCTCTTACACTGTTGGTGGGAATGTGAACTGGTGCAGCCACTCTGGAAAACTGTGTGGAGGTTCCTCAAAGAATTAAAAATAGACCTGCCCTACGACCCAGCAATTGCACTGTTAGGGATTTACCCCAAAGATTCAGAGGCAATGAAATGCCGGGACACCTGCACCCCGATGTTTCTAGCAGCCATGTCCACAATAGCCAAACTGTGGAAGGAGCCTCGGTGTCCATCGAAAGACGAATGGATAAAGAAGATGTGGTTTATGTATACAATGGAATATTCCTCAGCCATTAGAAACGACAAATACCCACCATTTGCTTCAACGTGGATGGAACTGGAGGGTATTATGCTGAGTGAAGTAAGTCAATCGGAGAAGGACAAACAGTGTATGTTCTCATTCATTTGGGGAATATGAATAATAGTGAAGGGGAATATAAGGGAAGGGAGAAGAAATGTGTGGGAGATATCAGAAAGGGAGACAGAACATAAAGACTTCTAACTCTGGGAAATGAACTAGGGGTGGTGGAAGGGGAGGAGGGCGGGGGTTGGGGGTGAATGGGTGACGGGCACGGAGGGGGACACTTGACGGGATGAGCACTGGGTGTTATTCTGTATGTTGGTAAATTGAACACCAATAAAAATTAATTTATAAAAAAAAAAAAATAAATAAAAAATAAATAAAAAATAAAAAAAATAATTTATTATTTAAAATAAATAAATAAATAGATAGATAGATAAATAAATAAATAAATAAATAAATAAATATTATGCCAGGGTCCATTGCCTAGGTGACCTTGAACAGAGTGACCTGGCTTGTAGCATGCTGTCTGATCCGCACTCCTCAGATTGGCTTTGGGGGTAGGTGGGACTGGAATAGGAGTAGGATCAATCATTGTCAGTTGCCCGACCTGATTAAGAGGGTTGTGGTTGGGACAAGAGAGGTCCAAGTGTCAGACCCTACACTGAGGATGATCCAGTAATGCATCCACTTGACACATCTCATGTTCCCTGAAAGCTGAGAAATGCTGTTTATAATATGTCTGAAATTCTTGGCAACAGCCAATTGTAGGAAAGAGAAATGAAATTTTCTGGAATTGAGACGGACTACAGCAGAAACAGAAGCCAAACCTGAGTGAACATCAGTGCCTGGGATCAGCACAGAGTGGTGAAATTTGATTTCTGCATCTCTGGTTCACAGAGGAGCAGCCAGAGCAGGCAGGTGCTGGTATGCATGGACATGTCCCTGAAATCTATGTCTCCATATCTCATGGTGTAGTGAAGGATGTTAATGGAGTTGACTTTCAAGGAGAATATAGGGGCAAACGTGAAAGGGTCAGCAGGTCACACATCCCTAAGACAAAGAGATTCAGGGCTTCAGAGTGAGGGCCACCTGGGTGACCGAGTCAGTTAATTGTCCGACTTTTCGTTATAGCTCGAGTCATGGTCTCAGGGTCATGAGGTTGAGCTCTGTGTGGCTGTGCTCACAGGTGAGTTATTTGAAATTTTCTCCCTCTCCCTCTGCCTCTCCATCAGCTAGCATCTGACTCTTTTTTTTTTAATGGAATTAAACTTGTCAAGATATACATAACACCCATTGCTCATCCCATCAAGTGTCCCCCTAAGTGCCCGCCACCCAGTCACCCCCACCCCCCGCCCTCCTCCCCTTCCACCACCCCTAGTTCGTTTCCCAGAGTTAGGAGTCTCTCATGTACTGTCTCCCTTTCAGATATTTCCTACCCATTTCTTCTCCCTTCCCCTCTATTCCCTTTCACTATTATTTATATTCCCTAAATGAATGAGAACATACACTGTTTGTCCTTCTCCAATTGACTTACTTCACTCAGCATAATACCCTCCAGTTCCATCCACGTTGAAGCAAATGGTGGGTATTTGTCATTTCTAATGGCTGAGGAATATTCCATTGTATACATAAACCACATCTTCTTTATCCATTCATCTTTCGATGGACACCGAGGCTCCTTCCACAGTTCGGCTATTGTGGACATTGCTGCTAGAAACATCGGGGTGCAAATGTCCCGGCATTTCATTGCATCTGTATCTTTGGGGTAAATCCCCAGCAGTGCAATTGCTGGGTCGTAGGGCAGGTCTATTTTTAACCCTTAGAGAACCCTCCACACAGTTTTCCAGAGTGGCTGCACCAGTTCACATTCCCACCAACAGTGTAAGAGGGTTCCTTTTTCTCCGCATCCTCTCCAACATTTGTGGTTTCCTGCTTTGTTAATTTTCCCCATTCTCACTGGTGTGAGGTGGTATCTCATTGTGGTTTTGTTTTTTTTTGTTTGTTTGTTTGTTTGTTTTTTGTAGCAGCTCAATATTTATTTATTTTTTTAATAAATTAATTTTTTATTGGTGTTCAATTTACCAACATACAGAATAACACCCAGTGCTCATCCCGTCAAGTGCCCGTCACCCATTAACCCCCACCACCCGCCCTCCTCCCCTTCCACCACCCCTAGTTCATTTCCCAGAGTTAGGAGTCTTTATGTTCTGTCTCCCTTTCTGATATTTCCCACACATTTCTTCTCCCTTCCCTTATACTGTGGTTTTGATTTGTATTTCCCTGATGGCCAATGATGCGGAGCATTTTCTCATGTGCTTGTTGGCCATGTCTATGTCTTCCTCTGTGAGATTTCTCTTCATGTCTTTTGCCCATTTCATGATTGGATTGTTTGTTTCTTTGCTGTTGAGTTTAATAAGTTCTTTATAGATCTTGGAAACTAGCCCTTTATCTGATACATTATTTGCAGATATCTTCTCCCATTCTGTAGGTTGTCTTTTAGTTTTGTTGACTGTATCCTTTGCTGTGCAAAAGCTTCTTATCTTGATGAAGTCCCAATAGTTCATTTTTGCTTTTGTCAAAATGGATGTATCTTACAAGAAGTTAGTGGCCGAGTTCAAAAGGGTGTTGCCTGTGTTCTCCTCTAGGATTTTGATGGATTCTTGTCTCATATTAAGATCTTTCATCCATTTTGAGTTTATCTTTGTGTATGGTGAAAGAGAGTGGTCTAGTTTCATTCTTCTGCATGTGGATGTCCAATTTTCCCAGTCTCTTTACTGAAGAGACTGTCTTTCTTCCAATGGATAGCCTTTCCTCCTTTATCGAATATTAGTTGACCATTAGTTGAGGGTCCACTTCTGGATTCTCTATTCTGTTCCATTGACCTATGTGTCTGTTTTTGTCCCATTACCACACTGTCTTGATGACCACAGCTTTGTAGTACAACCTGAAATCTGGCATTGTGATGCCCCCAGCTATGGTTTTCTTTTTTAAAATTCCCCAGGCTACTCGGGATCTTTTCTGATTCCACACACATCTTAAGATGATTTGTTCCAACTCTCTGAAGAAAGTCCATGATATTTTGTTTTTTTATATATAAATTTATTTTTTATTGGTGTTCAATTTGCCAACATATAGAACAACACCCAGCGCTCATCCCGTCAAGTGCCCACCTCAGTGCCCATCACCCATTCACCCCCACCCCCTGCTCTCCTCCCCTTCCACCACCCCTAGTTCGTTTCCCAGAGTTAGGAGTCTTTCATGTTCTGTCTTCCTTTCTGATATTTCCACTCATTTTTTCTCCTTTCCCCTTTATTCCCTTTCACTATTTTTTATATTCCCCAAATGAATGAGACCATATAATGTTTGTCCTTGGTATTTGATAGGGATTGCATTAAATGTGTAAATTGCCCTGGGTAGCATGGACATTTTCACAATATTAATTATTAATTAATATTAATTAATCCATGAGCATGGAATATGTCTCCATCTCTTTGTGTCTTCCTCAATTTCTTTCAGAAGTGTTCTGTACTTTTTAGAGTATAGATCCTTTACCTCTTTGGTTAGGTTTATTCCTAGGTATCTTATGCTTTTGGGTGCAATTGTAAATGGGATTGACTCCTTAATTTCTCTTTCTTCAGTCTCATTGTTAGTGTATAGAAATGCCACTGACTCTGGGCATTGATTTTGTATCCTTCCACACTGCCAAATTGCTGTATGAGTTCTAGCAATCTTGAGGTGGAGTCTTTTAGGTTTTCTACGTACAGTATCATGTCATCTGCAAAGAGAGACAGTTTGACTCCTTCTTTGCCAATTTGAATGCCTTTTATTTCTTTTTGTTGCCTGATTGCTGAAGCTAAAATTCTAGTACTATGTTGAATAACAGTGGTGAAAGTGGACATCCCTGTCTTGTTCCTGATCTTAGGGGAAAGGCTCCCAGTGCTTCCCCATTGAGAATGATATTTGCTGTGGGCTTTTTGTAGATGGCTTTTAAGATGCTGAGGAATGTTCCCTCTATCCCTACACTCTGAAGAGTTTTGATCAGGAATGGATGCTGTATTTTGTCAAATGCTTTCTCTGCATCTATTGAGAGGATCGTATGGTTCTTGTTTTTTCTTTTGCTGATATGATCAATCACATTGATTGCTTTACGAGTGTGGAACTAGCCTTGCATCCCGGGGATAAATCCCACTTGTTCATGGTAAATAATCTTTTTTTATAAATTTATTTTTTATTGGTGTTCAATTTGCCAACATATATAATAACACCCAGTGCTCATCCCATCAAGTGCCCCCCTCAGTGCCTGTCATCTTCTTAATGTATTGTTGGATCCTATTGGCTAGTATCTTGTTGAGAATTTTTGCATCTATGTTCATCAGGGATATTCATCTATAATTCTCCTTTTTGGTGGGGTCTGTCTGGTTTTGGAATTAAGGTGATGCTAGCCTCATAGAACGAATTTGGAAGTATTCCATCTCTTTCTATCTTACCAAACAGCATTAGTAGAATAGGTACGGATTCTTCTTTAAACGTTTGATAGAATTCCCCAGGGAAGCCATCTGGCCCTGGACTTCTGTGTCTTGGGAGGTTTTTGATGACTGCTTCAATTTCCTCCCTGGTTATTGACCTGTTCAGGTTTTCTCTTTCTTCCAGTTCCAGTTTTGGTAGTTTGTGGTTTTCCACAAATGCATCCATTTCTTCTAGATTGTCTAATTTATTGGCTTATAGCTGCTCATAATATGTTTTTAAAATCATTTGTATTTCCTTGGTGTTAGTGGTGATCTCTCCTTTCTCATTCACGATTTTATTAATTTGAGTTTTTCTCTTCTTTTTAATAAGGCTGGCTAATGGTTTATCTATCTTATTAATTCTTTCAAAGAACCAACTCCTGGTTTTGTTGGTCTGTTCCACAGTTCTTCTGGTCTCTATTTCATTGAGTTCTGCTCGAATATTTATTAACTGTCTTCTTCTGCTGGGTGAAGGTTTTATTTGCTGTTCCTTCTCCTGCTCCTTTAGGTGCAAGGTTAGCTTTTGTATTTGAGTTCTTTCCCGTTTTGGGATGGAGGCTTGTATTGCGATGTATTTTCCCCTCAGGACTGCTTTTGCTGTATCCCAAAGATTTTGAACAGTTGTATTTTCATTCTCATTAGTTTCCATGAATCTTTTTAATTCTTCTCTAATCTCCTGGTTGACCCTTTCATCTTTTAGCAGGATGGTCCTTAACCTCCACGAGTTTGAAATCTTTCCAAACTTCTTCTTGTGATTTAGTTCTAATTTCAAAGCATTATGGTCTGAAAATATGCAGGGGACAATCCCAATCTTTGGTATCGGTTAAGACCTGATTTGTGACCCAGTATGTGGTCTATTCTGGAGAAAGTTCCATGTGCACTTGAGAATAATGTGTATTCAGTTGCATTTGGATGTAAAGTTCTGTAAATATCTGTGAAATCCATCTGGTCCAGTGTATCATTTAAAGCTCTTGTTTCTTTGGAGATGTTATGCTTAGAATACCTGTCAATTGTAGAAAGCCCTGCGTTCAAGTCACCAAGGATAAGTGTATTATTATCTAAGTATGTCTTTACTTTGGTTATTAACTGATTGATATACTTGGCAGCTCCCACATTAGGGGCATACATATTCAGCATTGTTAGGTCCTCTTGTTGGATAGATCCTTTAAGTATGATATAGTGTCCCTCTTCATCTCTTACTACAGTCTTCAAAATAAACTTTAGTTTATCTGATATAAGGATGGCTACCCCTGCTTTCTTTTGAGGACCATTTGAATGATACATGGTTCTCCAACCCCGTGATCTGCACAGCTCGGGGCCACCCGGCTGCAGGAGCGTCCTGGCTGTCCTGGGCCCTCTCGGCCTCTGCCTGTCCCGGGGGGAGCGCCGGATCTTGGGCTGTGTCCCCCGGAGCCCTAGGTTCCCGGGCCTGCGCCACTGGAATTGCGCTCCCGGGGCAGCGCAGCTCCCTGAGCTTGGAGCCGCCTCGGAGCTGCTCCCAGCCCAGCCTGGCGTGCGCTGTAGCCCTTTAGGGAGCTCGGCCGGCCGCGGTGTGTGGTGTGCTCTCCCCCAAGGGCGCTGTCCTCTGTTAGTGCCCTTGGGAGCCTGAGAGCATCCCGCCCCTCCTGGCAACGGGCAGGGTATTTACCCCCCAGGCACAACAACTGATTCTCAGCAGACC